TTGAAAGCGCTTGATTGGACCATGGGCTTTCAACAGAGTCAAGAAATTGGCATGGATACTTTGAGAAATGGGGTAGCAACAAAAGGAAACACCGGAAATAATCCAGAAATGTCCACACCATTGTTTTCGTTAGTTATGGCAAGGCCCCGGAGGAAAAACAGCATTCATGGGTTTTAATTTTTGTACCAATTAGAGCCATGACTTAAACTCAACCAAGAACGGTGAAGCAAAGTCACTATGGGTCCCAATTGAGAATCAATTCAAATCAAAATCAAATTGAGAATCAGATGACCTGCTAAGTCTAGTATTGATTTGCCCCTAAATAGATATTAAAGGGGCGCTGAATATTGGACTTAGTTAATAAGCACCATTTTAAACTGCGAATTAAAACATGTATTCAATGTTTCAAAATAATGAAACTGAAATATTGGGCAAAATTATTGATATTTCGTTTGTGGAATGAAAACTGATGATAGAGATAATATCAGTAGCCAAAAACTATATTGCAATTTAAACATGGAAATGATGCCAATTTAGAAGTATTATATGAAAAGAAATGTTTGTGAAATGGTTAAATGAAATAACTTCAGAATTAATGGGATCATTGAGGCACACATCGATAAAAATCACACTTGGATTTGGAAAGATTTAAAGTAAAACAAATGAATGCGTTTCTTACTATCTCCATGACAACATATCTTGCTCTCTCTCCATGACAACAATTTTTGGCCCCATCAGCACAAGATCGGAAATACAGTACTTATCAAGTTCAATAAGAAATGTAAAACTTTATGTTTAATAGCACAATTATTTATTTCTACCAATGAAACAGAATTTACCACGGTTAAATTTATTTTATGAAGTACAGGGTTTACCATAATCAAACATAAATAACAGAATTATGACTTTATCCTCTATGAAATACAGAAGTTGATGGTTAACTGGAATTAAGTTTGTTGAGTCGACCCCTCAATCCGAAACGCCTAGCAAATTTCTGGCCTCAACTGAGATGTAAAGATGTTCAAAGATTTTAAATTAAGCTTTATCTGAAAATATGTTTTTGCGCGATAAACGTTTAATTGAATATGAATATATAAACAACAGATTGACATCCAGTCTCATATTAAAAAGTTTAAAGTCAAAATATTGTGGAAGTAAATAAAAATGAATTTTTAATTTTCAAGACTTGTCTGTTCAATGAAAAAATCATGTATAATTTGAACCAAGGTGTATGATAAAGTAATATATAAACTATCGACAAAATTTCGACAAAATGTTACGAAAGCATAAAAGACGATATCAATTACGAGAGCAAGAACTTTACTGGAACTTTTTAGCAACAAATATGACCAACGATCGTTTTGGGAAGACTTTGGGAAAATTGGAATGTCAAATGATCGAACTACAAAAATACCTATGGAAGTTACAATGCCAGACGGAAATACAACAAACGACAAGAAAATAGTGTTAAATACATGGAAAAACGATTTTGAAAAAATGTATAATGATAACAATGACCCGAATTTTGATCAAAACCATCTTGATAACATTAAAACATTTATGGATTCTACCAATTCTGATGAGCCAAATGACCTTAACCCAGAACTTAACCGTGATATAACGCATGGAGAGGTAGCAAAAGCTGTATACGCTGCAAAAGTACGGAAAGCGGCAGGTTTTGACGGGATACCAGCTGAGACACTAAAAAACCGAACGTGTATTGATTTACTCTACAAAATAATCACCACAAGCTTCAATCTTGGTCGAGTTCCAAGTTCATGGAATAAAGGAATTATCAATCCCATCCACAAATCTGGTGACCAGAAAATCCCTATGAATTACAGAGGTATCTGCCTAATTTCGGTACCATGCAAAATATATTGCACCATCCTCAACACGAGACTGTTAAAGTGGCTTGAAGCGAACGGTAAACTGTCTGATCTTCAAAACGGATTCAGAACTGACCGCAACTGTATTGATCACATCTACTCCCTGATGTCAATCATTAGGAACCGCAAGAATGCTCGACAATCAACGTTTGTTGCGTACGTCGACGGGCGCCGTGCCTTCGATACTATCAACCGTCAATGCATGTATTACAAACTCATGATATCAGGCGTTAAAGGACGCATACTGCATGCTATACAGTCCCTATATGTTGATGTCCAATATGCAGTGAGGATTATTGGCACGCTGACTGAGTGGTTTAGCGTCGACACGGGTCTAAAACAGGGCTGTAAGTTGTCTACTTCGATTTTCGCCCTCTATATTAACGATCTTGCACGCGAGATAACAGCCTTGGAATGCGGGATACAGATTGGCGACACCAATGTTGGTATATTGTTATATGCTGATGACATAGCGCTGATTTCGGACACAGAGGACAACCTGCAACGAATGCTAGATACCCTACACACTTGGTGCACCAAATGGCGCATGACGGTAAATGCACTTAAGACAAAAATCATTCATCATAGGCCATTATCAACCCCAAGATCAAATCATCAATTTCATTGTGGACCTGTCAATTTGGATTATGCACAATCTTATAAATATCTTGGATTAACACTGAATGAACATTTAGACATGACTAAGACAGCAGCTATTTTAGCACAGTCAGGATCCAGAGCACTAGGTGCAATCATGACAAAGTCCCGTGCCATGGGTGGCTTTAGCTACGAAGTCTACACGCATGTGTATAACTCGCTTGTAATACCAGTGATCACGTATGCTGCGGCTATCTGGGCAATTACCAAATCCGCAACAATGCCAGCCACCGTCGTGACCAATAAAGCAAGACGGTTTTTCTTAGGAGTAGGCCAGCATGCTCCTAATGTAGCCACGGAAGGTGACATGGCCTGGACACCCATATCAGCGACGCTAAAAGTCGAAATAGCACGTACATGGTGTCGGCTACAAAATATGGACAATTCTAGAGTGATGAAGAAAATCCACCTATTCTCTTATCGTAAGCGAAGTTCATGGGAGGAAGCTACCCTGAATATGCTGCAATCTTATGGAGCGGAACATCTTTTTCATGTTGAAACAAGAAACATAAAAATACAATTGAAACAATTCAAAGAAATTCTCGTTGCAAAAGAACACGAGTCATGGTATACTGCATTGTGGAACGATAACCGTAACCCTGTAAATGGTAATAAGCTACGAGTATACCGGCTTCATAAAATCCATGCTTCACACCCAGAACACTATGTAACTATTTCCATGCATAAACACGAGCGCAGTAACTTAGCAAGATTACGCTCAGGAACTTTACCGCTGAAGGTTGAAACAGGCAGGTTTCAAGGTATTCCCCTTCAAGAAAGATTATGCATGTGTCAACAAGGGGTCGAAGATGAAATGCATATCCTCATTGACTGTGATCTTCATACTTGTGCACGAAGGGATTTTATTGAACTTTGCAAAAATGAAATAACTGACTTTAATACATTATCTAGTCTAGCTAAATACTGCTCAATTATGAACAATTCTATTTTACAAAGACCATTGGCAAAAACTATACATAAAATAATGTGCAATAGAAGAGAATATGATATTTAAAACTTTTACATCTGAGCATATTTTTGATATATTTTTACATTGCTTTCTTGAGTCTCTCATACGCCGAAGCCGGCGGGACTGTTAATTATTGCTATTTTAGTATGTATATTGTTTACAGTGTGAGACTTTAATAAATATTTTACTAACTAACTAACTATAAACTATCTATTTTATATGATGGTACAGTAGAATTTCTCTTGGCTTTTCAACATAGCACCATATTTGACTTTTCAGGCTCCACTTTTATTATTCTATGCCTATATAATGTTACTGTGCACTGTCATACATGTACATAATCTTGTGTCTACATGACGTTTTGAAAGAGTATAGCTTAGAGCTAGATTCAAAGCACCGTTCTTGCAAGTTTCAAATGAAAATATTGAAAATGCATGTATTGAGGACTGCAACTTTTTATGTCTACACTGACAAAAACTTGAAATTTCCGCTGTAAAGAATCTTTACTATATCTTTACTAAAGATATAGACCCACACGGAAGTGCACGTCATAAAACTGATGGGTTAAGGCAATGTGCCGTCCCACTGGGACGGATTTCGGTACAACGCGCATCGGTAGGCCTTTTCGGCACAATGCGCGTCGGTATAATAGGTTTCGGTATAATGCGCGTCGGTATAATGGGCTTCGGTACCCTGCGTGCAGAGTCTAGTTAAACTACATGAAAGACGAAGACGAAGCTCTCTTTTAAGAAGGGAAGTCAAACGAATGTAAAGGGTAGGGTTTCGGTATAATACGCGTCGGTATAATGAGGTGATCCCCACAAATCAAATTCATTTCAGAGTTTATTCAAATTGGAATTTCTTATTTTCTAGAATTACAGTATTCGTATGTAAAGTGTGTGTATTTTTGTGCAGATAGAGATAAATCCTCTACCCATTGCATAAAACACTGTGACCTTGAGAAATTGTATTAAAACATACAACAGCAAAGTTAATGTTGCATCAACTCTCATAAAATTGAAGTACGTTATAAACAAATTAGATGTTGAATTGAGAAACTACCAAGGACATTTATTTAGGTAAACTTTTTTCTATATTTATCTAATATTTCCAATCCTACAAATATTGTGAAATATAATACAAACATTAACGAACCATTTCGAAACTGAATAACCTTTTTCCATATGATTCGAGTTTTACTAAAATAGGACTCATTACGTTATGTATTTTCATGTTCGAATGATAAAAATATTGAGTTGAAATTGTTTTTAGTTTTTCATGATATTCAACTTGTCTAATGAAACATCATCTTATGTTATCGGATTTAGACGATTGGTCTGAAGACTACTTTGATTTAGGCTTTGATTAGGCTTTTCCTTAAAATTCGAAACACATTCTTATGCTGTTATGTAGTTCTGTCAACAAGACGCTGGAGAGTGGAGAGGAATTGTAAAAGGGAAAATTATGTTGTTGTTTTTTATTACAGGTCAAGGTCAAGTAATACTTCAGAATGAAGTGTGCATTTATAGTATTACTTTGCATAGTATTTGGTACTGCCATGGCTGTTGATGACAAGTGTGATTGCCAAAGAGGGAAAAGGGGAAAACCTGGTAGGAATGGACAAGATGGTACCCCAGGTCAAAATGGTGCTCCTGGACAAAAGGGTGAACCAGGACAAAAAGGTGACCCGGGTCGAAATGGTGCTCCTGGACAAAGTGGTCCCCAGGGACAAGAGGGTGAGCCTGGACCACATTGCGTTAAACCAAGTTCATGTCCAATTGGATTTGTTTTCAACTCAACGCTCAAATCCTGCTATTACTTTATGTACAATGCCGATGGTTCATGGTTTGAAGGGGATTGGTTTTGTGCACGACAGAACTCGCATCTTGTTTCCATAGAATCTGAAGAAGAGCAGCTGTATCTGTATATGAGACTAACACTAGATAGCCAACAGAGAAAGAGGTTTTGGACAAGTGGCAATAAATTCAATGGACAGTGGAGATGGGATTCTGGTTCTTGTTCTCAAAGCAATCTATTCAGTTATACCAACTGGTATCCAGGCGATCCAGGAGAACCTGTAAGAAAAAGCAGGCCTGAAGAAATCTGTATGGCAGTCGCATTATATAAAGGATTGGATTGGCATCGTGTTCCCTGCCATGAAAGAAGAAACTTTATCTGTGAATTAAACTTGCAAGCCTTATAAAAATTTCATTCAATGGATTTGATTTAACTTGTTACATAAGGTCATCGTAAAATTAGTAATTATGACCTATGAAATATATAAAATATTCAAGTCATCATTTATATAAATTAGCTACAGTATAAGAGCATGTAACATTGTAACACTCATTTTAGTCTGTCAGAATGTTAAGAGCTCTTGAAGTATACCTTTTTGAAATTGTATATAAATCAACTACATTAATATATTGTAAACTATTGATATACCGAACACCTTACCCCATGTGTTCCTCTGACAAGCAGGACTCTTTTATCATTTGTGACCCATGTAAAGCCAATAGGAAAATATAAAATTGTGCCTGCGTATAAAATCAGCAAAACCAACTGTACAAGATTGAAGCCTAAGAAGTTACCACATTGCCAGCCATATCCAGAGTCATGCCAAATATGTACAGCTAAGGCAAAGAAAAGATAATTGGCTTGATTGCCTTGAATTCACCTGGCTATTGAACTGTACAATAAAATTGACTGGCTTGCTTCCAAAGCATTTAAAGGCTAATGTTTTTAAACCATTAAAGGGTCATGTTATTAAAACATGGGTTACAGTTACATAAGTAAATATAATTGAAAAACAATTTTGAACGTTTTGCATTTCTAAATTGATAAGTTTCTTGGAATACAACATAACTGTTAACGATTTAAGTCATTAATGATATTTTCCTTAGTGATCCCATGATAGATAGACAGTAATTTGGTCAATGTTTTATGTTCAACCTTGTTTTCATGACTTTTAAACATGAGTCGACAATAATAATGTAGGAAATTTCAATTCCAAATGTCAGCGTGTCGGCTCGTGTTTTTCACATTATTTAGACTTTTATCATGATACTGTAGATCGCCAAAATCTGCATGTACCTCTCAATGAGGCGATATGTTTTTAAATTTAGAGATGTAAGCTATAAACTCAAACAAAACTCAACCTACCCGCTATTATTTTGATTGTACACGACGAAATTTTCACTCCCGGGGAGCACTTTGGTAACACTTTGAAGGAGGATTCTTGAAAAATAGTTCGAATTTTCACAAAAGGTTTCATGCAATTTCATTGCTTATTTAAGCCTCAACTCCGATACCATAATTATAGATTAAAAGAAAACATTAAACTCACCAGGTTATATGATAAACCGTTTCGAGCATTGATGATTTGAGTTAAACTGTGGATATAAATGTAAGTCGGCATGTATTCGACAGTTAATGTATACATAAGGTCGGGCCATATATCACTGACAACCCCGGGCATACATGCAACGATAGTGACATAACCTCTAAATATTGTATGTCACCCTATATAATATATGAGACAAAAACAAAATAATTGTTTTGATGACAGCAATCTATTATTCAACGTCAATTTAAATTCACAATTTTATTTGCTTTGCAGGTCTCTACTCATTTCAAAAACTTGTATGGGATCACGGTTCGAATACAGCGACTTCACAGAGGGTCAGATACAAGCCTGGTTGGTGCACTCTTACATAACGTCCAGACAGACCATTTGGGCATTGGAAAATCTGCCAATCCTTCCCACATGACGTCAATGAACTTGTGAAGTGAACGCATAGATCCCAGCTGGAGCCGTCTTGACTCACTTCAATTTTGAAGTTTTTCAGTCGCTCTAAAATTGTATATGTTTCATTCTAAGACTCCATGGTTTTATTCCCTTAATAGTGCGGCTTGGTTTAGGCCTATAGATTTCTGAGAAACAGAATATTATCGATGTCCAACACATGTGCATATGCTTTATATACATTATATGTCCAGTTCCTCCCTCGTATGATTTCGTTTGAACTACATTTACTAATCTGCTTATCTATGGTCTTTTAAACTCAAGAAATTTACCATATTCTATGGCCACTGAGTGTGGCCATACAATATAAATAAGACACTCTTTGTTGTTTTGAATTTGCTTTAAATTGCCGAGCTGTCTTATTTTTATTGATGTAAACATAATAAACTAACCTTCATTGATCTTAACACGTAGTCTTATTTCATAAATTGGTCTACTTCGCAGGATATTTATTCACAAAATAAAACTGAAGGAAATTTTTACAACAAGCGGCCATCTTGACTAAATCGCTATAGGCCTATAGATGGAAACACTTCTAGCCAAGAATTTGGCTAGAGACTCGAGTAACAAGAAATAGTCCGTAGTTATATAAAAATATCAACAATAAAGATAAAACTATATACCCTCTACAGCCGCTAGATCACTACCACAATTGTCACTTCCACGACACTGCCTATTAAATAGAGCCACGGATCCAATATTTTTCGACGAACCTAGGTCTAGTTTCCACCATGGATTTGTATCACCATCATCAGTGTGTATACAGGAGAAATGCTCAGCATCGCCATCTATATTGCCATCAACTGCTGCTGCAGCAGTAATGCCAGACCAAGGGTAAGTTGATGATTGCGTGGCAGGCTTACCAAGAGCAAGATTATTTATTTCTGAAATAAAATTGTAACGACCCTTGGGCACGCTCGTCGGGGAGCTGTAGTGTACCGAGACATATACTAGACTCGAAAGAGAATGTGCTAAATTCAACGCCCCGTACGGGAATCGAAACCAGAACCTTCGGCTCTCAGAGTCAAACGCTCTACCTCTGAACCACGGCTAGCAGCTGAGATACACAGATACTAGACCCGAAAGAGAATGTGCTAAATTCAACGCCCCGTACGGGAATCGAACCCAGGACCTTACGCTCTCAGAGTCAGACGCTCTACCCCTGAGCCATAAAGGATAGCCACTACAGCTGAGACTGTAGTAGCGTCTTGCTATCGAAGGTCATTACAAAATGATTGCATTTGTTAATCTTCTTTATTTATGTACTTCATTTCTGATGGATTGCAAATATAACAGCTGTTTTTTCAAATCGGGTCATACTTGTGCTTTTCTAAAATTATATTATTTGAATTATCACATGTGTATGACCGGGACAATAAATTATGCAATTGTACATTTATAAATATGAATAATTACTAGATGGCCGAAAAACAGCAACTTCACAGAGAGTGAGCCAATTTGTGTCTTGCAGCTGAACCCTAACATAGCGTCCTTTCATTCCACTTGGGCAGTAAAACATCTGACAACCGTCCTTGCATTGTTCAAGTGCTGCATTTCTATAGAAGACGCATAACTCCCAGTCGTCAGCGTTTTTGCTTACTTCAATTTTAAAGTTCGAAAGACGATCTATGAAAATGAGACACAGGCAATTAAATCAAACGAACTAATAGATCAACATTAAATCGTCAGTCAGTAGCACGTTTGTTTATGCGATATGTTTTACCAATGTATCCATATCGTTTCGCATCACTTTGTTATCATCTTTGGTTAGAATAATGCAAAACAAACATCCATTCACGCTGTCAACAATCAACAGCACCAAGTTATGTGGGCCCTCACATTATCGGTGAATCAATTGTTAGAATACCTTCAACAATGTCGGAGGGTCCACCCCCACAATTGTTTACGTCACACTTCCTATTATACAACTTGACAGATCCAATGGGATAGACAGCTTGAAGGTCGACCCACCACCATGGTTTGTTCTCATAGTTTGTATTTGCACATGAGCCATTTTGAAAATATCCATCTTCAACACCGTCAACAGCGAGTCCAGCAGGAAACGGTTGTGGCAAATATTCTGAAGATTGGGAGGCAGGTTTCCCGAGAGCCAAATTCCCCAATTCCTCTGTTTAATTAATACAAGTATCTTTTTTATTTTGACTATATGCTTTCATAATGAATAGCAGAACAAGTGACTAAATGGCATTTTATAAATATATTAAGCACCGATTGGGCAACACCCATATATCATATTAATAAATCAATTTTGTACTCTAAAATTCAGGTTATTGCTATTGGTGCTTCAATAATTTAGTAGTAACGATATATGGTGAATATCTTAATATAATACTTTTTTGAAATTCAAAAAGCAATATATTTACCCATTGAGCATCCGAGGACACCAAAGCGCATTGCCATCCAGTTTGGATGATTCCATGCCTGCGGATTGATGCGGATATACCTGGCCTCTACTGCATCAATCATTTGTGTTGCGTATGAGTCACTGTCATTGTTCCCAGGCAAAACCTTTAGAATAAAATCACGTTTCAGGATACCATTGTAAGATTGCAATTGAACACAACCCAAAAAGGAAATGGCGGTTTATTTTGGAACTAAAAAGGAGCAATAGCTGCTTGTTCTTGACATGATGCTAATGTTGATTAAAGTGACTTTTCAGGTTTGATATTTTAGAAACTATCCCAAGCTATTCGAGTATCATTATCACTATCATAAGATGAGATAATAATCTTACATGGAGATACACATTGATGGCATTCATACAAGATTAAGCAATCAGTTTCAGGTGACGTGGGACATTCAAGAAATTGAAAAAATGAATGACCTTTTTATAGTCTGTAAACCCAATTCCATCTCTACTGTACAATAGTTTATAGGATGTGACCCATTGATTGACTCCTGGACCTCTCGGATCGCCATCTATGTTCCTTCCTTGTGTGATGATTCCGTTGACCTTCATAACTTTTCCAAGGTCAGCCTGTATCCACTGCGCTTTGTTGATAAAATGTGGTGCCCATGCACCAATGCCTTCGGTGTAGCTTCTGAAATGAGAAATATCGATTCAAGTAATACACAATTGTTTTCTAGTTTTACTCATCAGCAAAGCTATAATGACTGGTAGACTCAAACTTTATAAATAAAAACTGAACTAAAATACCTACATGTATTTAGTATCAAGTCTCGCTCGAGATGGAACATGGGCCGGGTCATTATTCCAATAGCTGGATGCTGTATAACTTGAATCCGGTCTCCCAGACAGCAGTCTTTCAGGAATGCAAATTTCTTCGAAAATCCAAAATGTTTCGGTTAATATACAGCAACATATATTCGAATAAGTCGAATACGTTTATAAAAGGTAGGGGAATTTATGGAGTAACACATGTTTGTTCTATTCAAAAGCCACATTGACCGATTGAGATAAATTTCATTGATTTCAGCCAATTTCTAGCCACTACTTTTGGCCATTTTGGGACACTTTGCCATTTTCGGACCGCTTCCAATATTTTTTAAATTATAATATAAACATGATGAAAATACCTGTTTCCGTCCATACAGAGTCTCCGCATTGTATAGCTGCTTCACTCGTGTATAAAAACGCAACCCCTTAAAAACATTTTTAAGAGTACGTAACTTTATTGATAACCTTAATGCTAATAACGATTATGAGTTATTGGTTCGACATATTGATTGATTTGTGTCAAAATTGATGCGACGATAATTGGTCATACTTTTCCTGTATTTTTATAAGTGTTATCTTTTTTATTGTATTTTCGAAAATGCTACTAAGAATATTACATCATCCATATGACAAGATGTCTCAAATTGTAATTTAAGATAATCGATATACTTACATATTACAAGGGACAATGCTGCGCCATACGACACCATGCTGATAGCTTTTAAGTTCCTGTTATATATAAAGGCAGTTTAGCAGAATTTTGTAGTATCACATATGTATCAAAACATCAATATCTGAC